TCCGATTAATTTCTTTCTATTTTTAGTAGAGACGGGGTCTCACTCTTGATCAAGCTGGTTTCAAACTCCTGAGCTCAAACAATCCACCCGCCTCGGCCTCCCAGAGTGCTAGGATTACAGGCGTGAGCCATCGCGCCCGGCCTCAAAGAACTCTTAAAACTAGACCACAATAAAACAATCTTATTTTAAAATGAGCAACAAAATCATCTGAACAGACACCTCACCAAAGAAGATATACAGGGGGAAATAAGCATATGAAAAGATGCTCAACAATATATGTCATTAGGGAATTGTAAATTAAAAGAACAATGAGATACCTCTACACATCTACTATTAGAATAGCCAAAATAGCTATGAAAACACAAAATGCTGGTGAGGAGGATAGGGGACAACAGGAATTCTCATTTATTGCTGGTGAGAATGCAAACCAGTACAGCCACTTTGGAAGACAGTTCAGCAGTTTCTTATAAAACTAAACATACTCTTACCACATGATACGGCGATCACACTCCTTGGTATTTACCCAAAGGAGTTGAAAACATATATCCACAAAATCCTGTACTTTGATGTTTGTAAACATCTTTTCTTTATTATTTTTTTCTGTTTCAGAGACAAGGTCTCATTCTGTCACTCAGGTTGGAGTGCAGTGGCATGATCATAGCCTCCAACTCCTGGGCTCAAGCTCTGCTCCTGACTCAGCCTCCCAAGCAGCTGGGACTACAGGAGTGAGCCACCACACCCAGGATCCTTATTTCATTATTTTATTATATTTTATTTTGTTTTATTTTTTTGAGACAGTCTCACTCCGTTGGCCCAACTAGAGGGCAGTGGCGTGATCACAGCTCACAGCAACCTCGAGTTCCTGGGCTCAAGCGATCCTCCTGCCTCAGCCTCCCGAGTATCTGGGACTACAGACATGCACCACCATGCCCAGCTAATTTTTTCTATTTTTAGTAGAGATGGGATCTGGGTCTTGCTCTTGCTCAGGCTGGTCTCAAACTCCTGACCTCAAGCAATCCTCCCACTTTAGCCTCCCAGAGTGCTAGAATTACAGGTGTGAGTGACCGTGCCTGGCTTTATTTTATATTGATATAAAACCTTTATAAGCAGCTTTTTTCATAATTGCCAAAACCTGGAAGCAGCCAAGATGTCCTTCAGAAGGTGAATGGATAAACTGTAGTACATCCAGACAATGGAATATTATTCAGTGCTAAAAAGAAATGAGCTATCAAGCCATAAAGAAACATGCAGGAAACTTAAATGTACATGACTAAGTGAAAGAAGCCAATTTGGAAAGACTACATATGTATCATTCCAACTACACGACATCCTGGGAAAGGCAAAACTACGTAGAGAGTAAAAAGATCAGTGGTTGCCAGTGGTCATGGGGAGGAAGGGATGAATAAATCGGCGCAGCACAGAGAATTTTTAGGTCAGTGAAACCATTCTGTATGATACAACAATAGTAGATGCAGGTCATTATACGTTTGTCAAAAACCCCTAGAATGGGCCGGGCGTGGTGGCTCACGCCTGTAATCCTAGCTCTCTGGGAGGCCGAGGCGGGCGGATTGTTTGAGCTCAGGAGTTCGAAACCAGCCTGAG